ATGCAACATGAACATGTGGACAAACATGCAAACATGCAAGCATGTGACAATATTCAAACAATGAGCATGCAAGACATGATGCAACCAAAGCATGCAAACATGAAGCAATGTAACAACATTTTAGCAACATGCAAAAGATGGACTTAAACTAATATGGGCAAGCCTCAGCCATGTCTAAATCAGTGGCCATATGAGATGAGAACAAGGCTCAAGATTCATGCAAACATGCACAATGCAAGGGCTCCAAGCCTAAGGCACAAAATGTAACTTTCCAAGAGCAATGCAAGGATGAAACATGGCATACAATGGCATACATTCCAGCTCTGAAATGGCACACTAAATGATTCCAGAATCATGACTCCGAAGCATGCAAACACTCATGCTATGCATGCTAGAAGGCTCAAACACCAAAGACTAGTGAAGTGCATTACACTATAGTCATGCAAAGCTATGTTCAAATGATGAAACCAACCCCAAATAGACCTTATGCAGCCCTAAAACAGTGGCAAAATGATATGAGATGGTGGCTCGAAATGCATTTAAATGAAGCTCATGCAAAGGCTCATAAATAGGGCATACGAGCACAACTCTCAAACGCATTTAAAACATGGAAAATAGGAGAGTATGGCACAAGTATAAGCTCTGAAATATCATACATAATGATACTAAAACATGCAAACACCTCGACATAAGCATGCAATAGGCTTCAAAACTCAAAGCTAAGTATGGCTATTACATTACAAGCATGCATGGCAAGTACCAATCGATCAAGAGGCCTAAAAACAGAGCTAAGGCAGCCAAAAATATGAACAAAATATGTTTGGAGTATGGCCAAAACATGCTAGAATGGAGGGCCAAAACAACATGCAACATGGGCTAGTAAGCATGGATTACACTACATGTATATGAAGCATTCAAGGGGCCACTAAACCAGCCAAAAATAAATTCATGGCATACCAAAATATGACCAAATACCCGCTGAAATATGTCCAATACATGCTAGAATGAGGTGCTCCTTTGGAAGGCCATGCAAGGGGTTGTTCTACACATGCAAAAAGGACATCTAACATGAAAAAACCAACTCTGGAAAGGGGTTATGTAGGCCCTAAAACTCATTGAAAAAGGCCTGAAACATGCTCAAGAAGTGTGCAAATATAGGCCTCTTTGGAAGGCCAAATATGCTAGTAAACAAGACAACAAAGGAGAGGATCACCCCTCTCCTTATTAGGACCCCAAAACACCATCCCCACCACTGAAACCCCTCTAGATTTCAGTGGTGAGAGGGCCAATACAAGGTGGTCCCGAAACTCACCAAAAAGGCACAAAAATGAGGCCAAACAAGACCTAAGAGGGGGTGAACAACCCCAAACACAAAAGTGATCTTAAAAAAAATTCAAAAGCATGCAAAAATAGAACTTTTATCAGTTATAAGTAAGCTCAATATAGCATGCAAGATAGGCTAAAAGTCTATGCAAAAATAGGGAATAAAGAGGGTGTTTCTCACCCTTGATGCACAGCTGCGAAACCAGCAGGTTCTTGGACCAAAAACCAGTCCCTTAGCCTTTGAAAATGGCCTCCAAGATGCTTAGGTTGATGATGGAGGTGTTAGAGTTGGTGTGCAAAGGGGCCAATAACCAAGCAATTTAGAGCTCAAAATAGAGAGATATAGAGAGATGTATATTGTTTGCCTTAGCAAAATTTTGGAACCTTTTCTAATGAGGGAGAGGCCCCCTCTTATAGAAGAACAAAGGTCCAAGCTTCTCTTAGAAGCTTGGAGCAAAGGGGCCAAGCTTCTTAAGGAAGCTAAAGCAAAAAAGGTCAAGCTTCTTGAGGAAACTAGAGCAAAGGGGTCAAGCTTCCTCAAGAAGCTAAGAAAGGCTCAAGCTTCTTGGAAGCTTGGAGCAAAAGTATCAAGCTTCTTGGAGAAGCTAAAAAAGGTTAAGCTTCTTGGAGAAGCTAGACAAGGGTTCAAGAGGTTCAAGCTTCCTCAAGAAGCTAAAATGAGAGGTTCAAAAGGTTCAAGCTTCCTCAAGAAGCTAAAACGAAGGGTTCAAAAGGTTCAGTTTCCCTGAGAAGCTAAAACGAGGGGTTCAAAAGGTTCAAGATTCCTCAAGAAGCTAAAACAAGGGTTCAAAAGGTTCAAACCTCCTCAAGAAAAGGTCTCGGCCAGAAAAAGTGGCCGATTGATCAAAAAAATGGCCGGCCGACCAAAAACAATGCCGACCGGCCAACACATTTGGCCGGTAGCAAGAAAACAGGGCCGGTGGCCTCAAGCCATGGCCGGTGAGGTGTGGGGATGGCCAACAAGCTATTTCCCACCCTCAGAAGCAAAACAACAAGTGTTTGGTGCAAAACCAAACACAAAACAAACGAGTCGAGAGGTCTTGAGGCAAGGCGCGTAGCCGAAACCTCCGAGAACTCAAAACGAACACGAGCATAGATGATCATCGAGTGTTCAAACGATGACGTCCAAGTCTTGAGGACGGTCAAAAATGGGGTGTCTACACGCAAGCAATATGCAATAGGCATACAACCTAAATATGCAAACATGCAACCTAGCATACACAATGCTATGGACTATATGGCACACACAATGCTATATGAACTATGGCATGCTCAATGCAACTAACCACCTAGCACACACAATGCAAAGGGTGACATGGCATACACAATGCTAACAACATAACATACACAACACATTGTAACATGGCATACACAATGCAAGATGGACTTAAACTAAAATGAGTGGGTGATTATATATGCAACATATATTATTTATATAGTATATAGACTCGTATTAATATAAAAGTACATATGTAAAAATAAATTATTTAGTAGAAAAAAAAGAGACCACTTTTGGCGACTAAACATAATTTTAGTCGCCAATTCTATACTTTTGGCTACTAATTATTTTTTAGTCGTTTAAAAAAAAATTCCCGTGCTAAAATTATCACTTTTGGCGACTAAATTTCTGTTTAGTCGCCAAAAAGCCTCACTTTTGGCTACTAAACATTATTTTTAGTCGCCGAATGCCTCACTTTTGGCTACTAAATTTTTTTTAGTCGCCAAAGGGCCTTACTTTTGGCTACTAAAATTTTTTTAGTCGCCAAAAGGCCTTACTTTTGGCTACATAAATTTTTTCAGTCGGTAAAAGCCATATATCGGTGACCAAACAGATATTTAGTCGCCCAAACCTATACTTTTGGCTACTAAATTTTTTTAGTCGCCAAAAATCTTTACTTTTGGCTACTAATGCCTTTTTAGTCGCCAAAACCTATACTTTCAGCGACCAAAGGTGATTTTTTAGTCGCCAAAAATGCTTTTTCTTGTAGTGACCAAGAGAAAGAAAAAAGATGATGTCAATTTTACAAGTTAGATTATTTTGTCTTGATGTTGGTTACCAAAGTGAATGCCTTAATTAATATTTTTTCTTATCAAAGATTTTGTTTTTTGTTTTTTAGGGGTTAAAAAATTGATTTCCATTGATTTTTTTTTCTTCAAGTTTCTGTGTTTACACATTTTGGCAGGTCTGATACCAGAAGAGATTTGTGAGCTTCCAAATGTGAGAGAGCTAAGACTTTGTGTTAACAACTTAATGGGTGCCATTCCAACATCAATTTTTAATATCTCATCACTTCAGGATATGTCGCTTACGAGAAATAACTTGTCAAGTAATCTTCCATCAAATATAGGGCTTTGGCTACCCAATCTTAGTTTCCTCTATCTTGGAGGAAATAACCTCAATGGAATTATTCCTGAGTCAATTTCAAATGCTTCTAAACTCACTGCTTTAGACCTCGGTAACAATGCATTTACGGGTTCAATTCCGAAATCGCTTGGCAATTTACGACTACTAGAAGTACTCCACTTGAATGGAAACAATTTGATGAGTGGGTCATCTTCTTCCTCTTCAGAATTGAGCTTCCTCACTTCCTTGGTAAATTGCAAAGATTTAAAAAAATTGTTGATAAATCGTAATCCTCTGGACGGCATTCTTCCGACAACTATTGGGAATCTCTCTGCTTCCCTTGAGGAATTTAAGGCAGATTCTTGTGGAATCAAAGGCAACATTCCTAGTGAAATTGGTAATATAAGCAATTTGGCATTCTTGTATATGCAACAAAATGATTTGACTGGATTCATTCCCTCTACAATTAAAGCGTTGGGAAAGCTTCAAATATTGGATCTTTCCAACAACAGACTGCAAGGGTCCATTCCAGATGATATATGCCAACTCAAGCACATGGGTGATCTACGATTGAACCAAAATGAACTTTTTGGATTGATTCCTGAATGCTTAGGGAATATTACATCTCTAAGATATCTCCACCTCAATTCCAACAAACTAACTTTCGTCATACTTACAAGGTTGGGCAATCTTAAAGATATCTTGGAAATTAACCTGTCCTCGAATTCTTTAAATGGCAATCTGCCACCAGGTGACTTCTAAATTATAATTTATATTTTCACATTTTTGTGTTTTTTTATATATGTTTCCAATTTATATAGACATGCACTTTTGATATTATAGCACAAAATTTTAAATATAATTTTTGTAGAAATTTTTATGATTTTGTTAACCACGAGCTAATTCTCTAAAATGGTAAATCACACCGATCTCCATTGAATAATGATAAAATACAATAAATTTTGCAATTTCTACATAATTATATCGACCTCCCTTTCAATAATAGAAAACTTAACAATGTTAACTTTAATAAGTAAATTACTTTTTTGCCTTTACACGTTATATTTTTTATTTGTCAAATTTAACAATAATAACAAATAACAAAATTACTCTTTTTTTCCACAAGACCACCACTACATACCATTTTTTCCCAAAACAACTTACCCATCCAACACTTGCCACCATTGCATACCCCTCCAATACTACCACCCTCTAGCACGCCACAAATCTAACCACCGACACATACTAACTTGCCACCCCCAAAATTCTATAATTTGCTTGACAACATGATATGTCTTTTCATTGTATGTAGAGTTTGGATTGGAAGGATTAGTATCCACAAGCTGTGATGTTTATAGTTATGGAATCTTGCTTATGGAAACATTCACAAGAGTGAAGCCCACTGATGAAATATTTTTTGAAACGTTGGATGAGGGAGTCACTACCAAATACAATCTCTCATGTTATAGATGCTAACTTGCTTAAGCCAGAGGAAGAACACCTCATTGCAATTGTACTGCAGTGTGTATCATCTATCATGGAATTGGCTTTGAGTTGCTCTGCAGAATCATCAGATGAGAGGATGAACATAAAAGATGTTCTCGCAACACTCAAAAAATTGAAACTTTGGTATCTAGCAAATTGTGGAAGGAGTTGAAAGAAGAAAAGTTGGGACTTTGGTATCTAGCCAATTGCAACATTCAAAAAAGTTAGCCAGATGCATCTGTAGCTAGTAGTGATTACGTAGTACTTGGATTGCTTATTATGTATGCTTTGTATTTTTTTGCAAACTTTATATATGGTTGCAGGATGCGAAAGTAGTTAACTTAAAGAACTAAAGGAAAAAAATGTATAGTAAAATATGGTAAATGTATTCAAACATGTATCTTTGAGACTTTCTTTCCACCCCATGGTCACTAATTTTGAATAAACTTATGGAAATCCAACGACTTTCAATTACCAAATGTGCAATAATTTTGTTGGCACAACCATATCAACAATCTTAACATATATAGATTTTTGAAAGAGAAGCATCAATCAAACATTGCTTCAATAATTGCTTTAACAATACCACTTCTTCTATTCTTATTAAAAAAATTAATGAGAATAAATTAATGAAAACAAAAAAAATAATAATAATTAGATTACAACGATTTTGTCATGTGATCCTATGGAGCAACAAATGACCATAATACTGTATTGTGCTTATTTAGAAAGCTAGAGAGGTTGGGTTGGTTCCTTTTCTGACGCTAGCCCAGTTTATAAATGCTGAAGCAAAGCAAGCCCCAGGAAAGTATGGACTAGTTCTTAGCTCCATCTTGGCTAGCATTGTACTCTTGACAGGTTGACGTCCTTAAAGCAACTACTCATTGTTGTGTTGCCCCAACCCAAGGAAGGGTATTTGGTGAGGAGCATTGTTTTGAAGAAGAGAAATTCATGGTTGAAAAACTATTTCAAGGAGGCAACTGGGCTGGAGTGCTTTCACCAAATAATGCATGTGAATTGAGCAAACCGATGTTGGCCTTTCCCTCTCTTCTAAGAACTGTTGACATAAAACCTATTTTTCCTTTCCCTCTCACAAACCTTTCAGAGTGGACGTGCTTCCTTATTGGCAAAAATTTTCTTCCTCTGGTGTTGTCTCTTCACTAAGCACACTTTGAAATATAAAGCATGAAATTGAAAGATATAAATTTGAACTATTTTAGAATAAAGAATAGTTATTGCAAATAAAAAAAGAAGTTATATGTGTGATAACATATTTTGTCTAAATTAAATGAAGAATTGAAGCAATGTACCAGATTTGTCAACATGTACACTAAGGTGTGCCCAAAGGAGGAAAGGGAATTAACATTGTCGAGTGCTTAATTGACTTTCCAGGGTTCCTTGAAAAAAAACAAAACAAAACCAAAAAAGATTTTGAGGGAGGAAAAATAGAAAAGAAATCCAAGCACCTTCCTGAAGGCAATAAAAATGTACTCAATTTTCATTGCTTTTAGCAACCACCAATCACTTGTTGGAACAATTTTCTGTGTAAAATAAATAACTTGAAATAAATCAAACAAATAAAAATAAATTACTTACAAAATTTATTTTACCAAAATGTAAAAGTACAAACAGATCAAGTCGAGTGTGTGACACTCTATCTTTAAAACAAATTCGCCCCGCTTCAATGCTTACGGATATATGGCGTCTATCTCTCAGGATACAATGATCCTCACAAATTGTAGTAGCACTCCAAACAATTTGTACGGCGAATGAAAACTTGTGTTCTATACTCTCTAATTTTTTCTCTAAAACTAGAATGAAGAACAATGCAGTGAAAGAGGAAAAAATGGAAGGTAACAAATTTTTTGGATGTTTTTGATGATCCCAATCTGCTGGAACAGGGATCTGTTAACTGCAGCAGTTATAAAACTATCCCGAACTGCTGGGTAGTTTTCTGATCTGTTTGAACATTTTGAACCTGTTGAACCTGTTGGAAAATGGACTTAAATCGGGTACTGTTTGGACAGAAAAAATTGGCTCAAAATTTAAATTAATTTTTCCCACAAGAATTTTGGAAAAAAAATCAAATAAATTTTGTCTAAAAAATTAATATAAGAACCAACCCGACCCATAACCCACACCCGCGGTGGAGCACGCGTGTGTGCTGGTTTAAGCCAAGGTTGACTTTGTCCATAACTCTTCCCTTCTACAAACTTGGAGTGCCCCTTGGGGCCCAACCCAAGTATTGCCATCTAGAGCTTATATACATACATAAGCTCTCTTCAAGTTTCAATATGGGATAACCCATTTCAAAGAAACCCACATTTTAGTTCTTGAATAGTCCATTCCACGAATCCGAAAACGACGTCAAGTTTCCATTCACTCATAAATGGTTTTGACGAACCGTTTTCACCGTGTGACTTGCCATACGGCAAGGAACACGTCACTTCTTTTAACCCACTTCAAAAGACATGTGGACCTCACTCAAATTTGGGCTCAAAATTGGCCCAAAACAAGCCTATAAAAACCTAATTTCCAACAATCCCCCACATGAATAGAATTTGGCAAAGAGAAAATGCAACAATATGATCTAATTACAGAGAGTACAGAAATTGAAAATATTCTGCAAATGATACGTAGCTTTTGGCTTTGAACCTTTCCTTGTGAGACACTATCGGATTTACTAACTAACCAGTGAACATGATATCTTGAACTGTTCAGCCATTTGTGTAAACCAAGACAATAGAGCTCGCACAGAATATTACCAGACACAGTTTAGTTCTCACTATTGTGTTCATTTTGGCCCTGACAGCCTGGTCTTTCATAAGTGCTCTAAAGAATTATAGCCCTTCACAAATCTTATAGAACCGACCCAGTTCACACTCATATAGGTGATTCTTATGAAAAGTATCATGCCATACTCCACTAGGTATACCTATATATAAGAATCATTAAAAGTATTACTTAACCTAAAATGCTGCAGACATCATTATTTCACCATAGAAATGGGTAGGAGTTTGACTTCCTAGTGATCCTTCTGAGTCATAAACAACTTGGTTGTCCCTTTGAACCTAGATATTGGGATCTCCAGTTAACTTGGTTGGGTTGTCGTTGTGGTAACTCTTATTTAATAGGCTTAAGTCCCATTCCCCTCGATGAATTCTCAACTAACTCTCTTGTTAACCCTTTGGTTAGTGGATCCACTATGTTGTCTGTAACGCCCTCAAAAATAAACCCATTATATATATCATTGACATGCATTATTTAAAGAAAACACTTTAATAATTCATTATAATGTCCATCAGAGTCTTACTAAACAAAAGCATTACATGTAACATCAAAGTAAATGCCCTACCGGCTTACATCTTTCCAAGCCAACACTTGGACACAAAGTATGAGTTCTAACTCAAATATAAATAAAGCCCTAGGCTTGAGTGTTTACATGTACTAACAATGAAAAACAAAGGGGTCGCTATATTGTCTTTAGACTTCACATATTCAATGGAAATAATTCCATTAGAAAGTAGTTGTCTTGCGATGTTATGTCGACGACGAATGTGTCGTGACTTACCGTTATACATATGACTCTGTGCTCTACCAATTGCTGATTGACTATCACAATGTATGCATATAGCAGGCATCGATTTTGGCCACATTGGAATATATTCAAAGAAGTGGCGAAGTCATTCTGCCTCTTCCCCAGCTTTATCTAAAGCTATGAATTATGATTCCATAGTAAACCTAGCAATGCAAGTCTATTTGGAAGATTTCTAAGATACAGCCGCACCACCAAGAGTAAAAACATACCCACTGGTGGATTTCGAATCTCTAGTATCCGATATCCAGTTTACATCACAGTATCCTTCAAGTACTGTTGGATATCTAGTATAATTTAACCCAATGTTACGAGTAAATCGTAGATATCTTAGAACCCTTATAATAGCTTTCTAGTGTTCTACTCCTGGATTACTCGTATATCTACTTAATTTACTTACTGCATAAGCTATATCTGGGCGAGTGCGGTTCATCAAGTACATTAAGCTTCCAATAATTTGGGCATACTCAAATTGAGAAATACTTTCCTATACATTCTTAGAAGGAAACAAATTAACATCCACAAGTGTTCTAGCAAGATGATCATCATCTTTGCTAAATTTGTCAAGTATTTTCTCAATGTAATGTGATTGTGACAAAGCATAATCTTCTGATGTTTTGGTAATTGTCATACCAAGAATTACATCAGCAATCCCCATGTCTTTCATGTCAAAATGTTTATTCAACATTTTCTTGATAGTTTTAATAATGTCATTATTGCTACCTATAATGAGCATATCATCCACATAAAGACATACTATAACATAGCCTTTGTTTGTGTTTTTAATATAAACACATTTGTCACATTCATTAATTTTAAAACCATTTGACATCATTGCCTTGTCAAATTTCTCATGCCACTGTTTTGGCACTTGTTTTAAACCATATAATGATTTAATCAATTTACACACTTTCTTTTTTTATCCTAGAACAGAAAACCCTTCTGGTTGTTCTATGTAAATTTCTTCATCTAACTCACCATTTAAGAAAGCGGTTTTTACATCCATTTGATGAATCTCTATATTGTACAAAGATGCAATAGCAATTAGAATTCTAATGGATGTTATTCTAGTAACTAGTGAGTATGTGTCAAAGTAATCAAGACCTTCTTTTTGTCTAAATCCTTTGACTATAAGTCTTGCCTTGTATTTGTCAATTGATCCATCCGTTTTCATTTTTCTTTTGAAAATCCACTTGTACCCAAAAGGTTTATAACCTGGTGGCAAATCCACAAATTCCCAAGTGTGATTTTGCAGGATAGATTCAACTTCGCTGTTTACAGCTTCTTTCCATAAAGAAGCCTCAAGACTAGACATAGCTTCTTTAAAAGTTAAAGGCTCATTTTCTAGCAAAAATGTTAGGAAATCTGGTCCAAAAGATTTTGAGGTTCTAGCACG